TTACTATTTGTATAGCTAGACATATTTTGAATTTCAGCATTACTAAGACTATTTGCCAGCTTCTCTGTTACCTAAATTTGGTCAATTCTTGTACTAGATTCTCTATTTGTCTATAAAAATTCTTTGCTTTTTGTGTTTTCTAATCTATAAGAGTCTTTGAAGTTTTGTCTTATTAACTAATTTAAAATTAGTTTTTTTTTGAAATAACTGCATTTTATACTTCTAGATCTTTTCAGCTTTGGGTTTATAATGCAGTTCAGATCTCTCATAATTACTGTTTGTGTCTTGTATACTTTTTTAATATATCTTTAAATAATTATTCTATAGATCTTTCTTTGTTTTTCTTTATTATTAGGTGGTATATATACCATTATAACTATAAGTTCTAGTTGTTTAAATATGAAGTTTGCTATTATTATATATTCATTAATTCTGTCTATTTGTCCTAAATGCCTTTTTCATCTTTTATCTATCAAAATCTCTATACCTGAGCTTTTTTTTTTTAACAAACGCTTCTGACCAAAATCCTTTATATCTATTTAAATCTTTTATTATAAAAAAATTTTTTTTTACTAATATTTGTTTCTGTTAAACCTAGTATATTAATTTTATTGTCCATGACCCATTTATATACTAGTTCTATTTTGTGCTTATTGCTTTTTATATCATTAATATTATTACATGCAATGTTTAACTTTATGTTACTTCTTTTGATTGATTTTATTAATAATGCTTTTTTGTATAGTTATAAAGATTTTTTTCTTATTTTCTGTTAAGTTTGAAGCATCTGCTTTCTTTATACCAAGATTCTTTGATTCAACTAGTGTACATATTAGGAGTTATAAGCAGGATTTATCTGTTTATAGTCCCAATTGTTAAGTTTTTTAAGTATTCTTGTAATATGTTTTAATGTTCATCAATACACTACATAATTAATGATTCTTTTTTATACTTTTTATTGTTTTTTGTTCTTTTTTTTTGTTTTTCTTTTTTTAGTCTACTTGCTTCAGGCTTGGATGATCTTGTATTCTTATATTCAAAGTTATAAATATCTTGAAAGATATATTTTCTGTATTTTTTTAATCTGAGTTATTTATCTTTATTTCTTTTTGCAGTGTTTTTTTTTCTTTATATCAAAACAACTTGTTATGATAATAAAAAACACTCTTTTTTTGCTTTTTGGTGATCTTCTTTAGATCTAAAATAAGCAAAGGCTATGCTTCTTTGTTGCCATTACTATTATTAAATATAAAAATTGCTTTAATTTCTAGTAGTCTTAGTTGTCTTAATAATGTTAATTCTAATACTGATTTTGGAATATTGTTTAGTACTGCTTTGTGTTTTCTTCTTTCTTCTAACACCTCTGAATCAAATTTTACTGATATGATTCTGCATATTGTACTTTTTCAAAATATACTGACCAACTTATCACAAGTAGGTCCAATCTCTTCTAATTCTATCTAGTAACCTGAACTACTGCTGTCTTGATTTTCTTAAGTATTTTCTATTCAAGAATTCTTGCTTTTTCATAAAAGCTTAAACATCTTATAACTCTTTCATATTTTATGTCTTTTGGTAAGTCCCATAATATTAGTGTTACTAATAGATTCTTTTTTGTTTAACTTATATTTTTTGTTCTTGTTTCTGTTTTAATACTTTATTTTAAATAAAACTTTTTGACTTGCTTTTATTAGTTTATATAAAATCATTTATATTTTTTGGTATCTATCTTGATGTATAGATATCTTCTTGGATTCTATCTTCTGTTCTTCTTTCTTCTTTCTTTATTAATAACTCTCTACTTGGGTTATTTTTGTATTTTAGAAATATAAATCTCTTTGACTCTTCTGTTCCTGAATCATATATACTGCATTCTATTATTAACAATACTATTTTATCTTTTATTTTTATCTCTTCATCTAAATTTTCAAAAATTTTTTTTTTGTTTTATTCAAAAACATCTCTGTGTATTTAATAGTTCTATTATCTCTTTTTTTGGTGATCATTTTTGTTTTATCATCTAGGTATCTTCAATTAAGATTACTCTCTTGAATTACTAGTTATGTTACAGATATTTTTAGTTTCATTAAATCTCTATTTTGGTAGTCTTTATGCTTTACTATTTTGTTATTTACTTTTTTCCCTTTCTTTTGATTTATGTCTTTAGTATCTTCTTCTGCTATTATACTTTTTCTTTTTGTATAAGTCTCTTAACTTACTAGTTGCATTATTGATAGCTTTAGCTTTATTTTTGTTATTATAGTTTATGTTTTCTCTTTATTATTATATATTACATTTTATATAATATTTTTATATACTTTTTCTTTTGATTAACTAGAAATCTTTCTTCTATTGTTGCATTTTTTTTTTATAAAGATTTTTCTGCATTTCTCTATGCTTGTCTACTAAGATTCTTATAATATATATTTGAACTAAATTATTTGTACCTAAAATTTTGCTATATCTATATCTATTTGTGCAATGTAATCTTTTAATTTGTTTAAACATATATACTTTTCTGCTGATATTTTTAAGTTTAAGTTATAAAGCTCTTTGATTTCTGTCATCAATATTTCAATTCTAGTTGTTTGTCTAACTTCTTATATTATTCTATTTCTAGAAGCTTTTATTTATTTAATTAATACTTATTTTTATTGTTTATGTCTTATTTAGTTAGTCATATTTCATGCTTATTGCCTAATTAGACATGTGTTATTTTGCTTACTTGTTTGTTTGCTAAATTTACATGATTGTTTACTTTGTAATTTGATTATGCATTGATTGATCAGTGTTACAAAGTTACAACTAAGTTTAAAATTTTCTAAAAATTTTTCAAAAATTTTCGAACAAGTTTTTTGTACTTTGATTGAGCAACTTTTCTTAGAAGTTGTTCTATTAAACTATAACTATTTTTGTGTTTCCTTTCTTTTTCTTAATGATGCAAGACCTATTTATTTAATCAACTTTAGAACAAACTAAAATGTATTGATTTATAACTTTACAAAATTGAAGATTAGTGAAAAGAGTTTTTGAATACAATCTTCTTTTTTATCATCTTTACCATCTTCTTATTTACTATCTTCTTCTTTATTGTTTTCTTTTTCATTATCTTTTTCTTTATTATTTTTTTATTATTATTTTTTTTTTTACTATCTTCTTTAATATTTACTTTATCATCTTCTTTAATATTTTTTTCTTTATCTTCTTCATTATCTTCTTTAAACTATTTTATATATACTAGTATGTATTACCAGAAATTATAATTTATTAAAAACAAAAATTTATGATCTAATAATTTATTAAAAACAAAAATTTATAATCTAATAAAAGAAAATATATTACTAAAAGAAGAACTTGAAATGTTTAAAAATCCCAGTACCTGTACATTAAAACCAACTTTTAAGTATCCTACTTCTCAAGTTTCAACACAAACAAATGAATCAGGATCTAATCAGCCAAAGAAAAGAAAAAACTTTCCATTTACCTGGTTTCTTACTAATGAAGAATCTCTGCAAATGTTAAAAGAAATGGACAAGTCAGCAAAGAGCAAAACAGAAAATACAAAACAAAGAAAAGAGGAGGCAGCCCAGAAACGAGCTGACCAGGAAGCTGAAAAAAAGAGATAAAAGCTGAAGATGAGCGAAAAAAAGAGGAACGGTTATGTAAAAAAAAGAAAAAATGATAATGCGTAGTTATGTGTGCTATACTTATCTAGATATGTATTATCTCTTGTGTAATTCTGATTTCCGACATTAATTCGACATATTTGGTGTGCGTCATAATACCTCCCAAATGTAAAAAACAGCATTTTTTGGAGTAGATTTTGAAATCTTATATCTCAAAATTTTATTTTTAGAAGTTTTTTTTTATTGGTAGATAGTTTATTCGATGAGTAATCTATTTCAATAAATTTTAAGAATAAATATATTTTTTCTGGGAAGTTTTATATAAGCAACTCTTAGGTGCATCATAATACCCTCCCCTCCCTTATATCGAATAATTCAAATATAAAAAATTGATCAAGTGAATATCCGAATTTCCATTATTTTGACCCAGTCAAAGGGTAACGGTTGTTGCCCTTGTGATCTCACTCCTAAAAAGTTCGTTTTATTGTTGAGTAGCCGATTATATCAGATCTTGTGTTATTTGCCTCTATAATAAGTTGGCAGGTTTTTAAATTACTATTTTCGTTATTATTTCAATTATAGTTATTACAAGGTAAAGGGGTAAATGGCTAATAACATCATAATAATTGCGTATATCGACATTTCAGTGCTTCTTGATATTTCTCGATACTTCTAAATATTTTTTGGCCGTTCTTGTTTTTTTTCGGTAGCGGAGTTAAAATTCCAATATATCTCAATACAACTTTTAGTATCTCTATACCATCAAAGGCCAAGAAGTTTGCGGATTGGACATCAAATAATTCATTGAACGTATCTTAACATCTTTATTCATCTTCATTCATCAGCTATAAACAATTCTATATGAACAATTATTCAAATTAGGCGGTACAATCATGTGCAACTTGTTATTTCACCAACTGAAAATAATAAAATGGATGCATCCTTCAATTAAACATCTTCATTTACTTACCGTTGTCTTCAAAAATCAATAAAATAATACCAATTTTATTTAATATTAGATATTATTTTCAGAAAGTAAAAAAAATGTTTCTGAACACCAAATCTGGTTTAATTATTTTATTCTTGATCTTTTTAATGTGTATTGTTTGTGGAGTGGACACTATCGTTATACCCAATATTGAAGGTAATCAGGAATTGAAAAATTTTTGTTGACAAGCATCAACATTTCATAAATACTCTTTTACAGGATTGATAAGGCGTGATAACAATTCCGATATCGAAACAATTTGCGGAGGTAACTAAAATTTAATTCTTTCCTTCTGAACAATATTTCCTTCTGCAGTCTATCTTTACTCAGCCATTATCTTCCATCAAGAATTTAGTTTTGTATACCCACCGAAGAATGTGTTTACTATGGACCAGATCACCATAAAAAATGATACTACCATTACATGTAAATGGTCTACCAAACCTGGATCACGAGTCGTTTCGGTCGTAGATTTCGAACTTTTCATGGATAAAGGATCTCGCAAAGGGCTGATAGCTGTTTTGTGGGATAAAGGTGTTAACATGACACAAAATTCGGCAAGCGCGAAAGTTCAAATATATTCACCTTCGGACATAAAACTTCCTGCAACTTTCTTGGCTAGAAGTTTTGCGAATACAGATTTTGGACCTTCATGTACCGCTTACACGTATGTATTTTTATTTGTTATAATGACAATTGGATTTTTTCTTTATCAAGCAATTTTTTTATTAATCATAAATTTATAAACAGTCAACACTTCACGATCACTACATAAAAAAAACCAATTCTTGTCCATGTTATTTGCAAACCATATATGTTGTAAGTAGGAACGGAATTTAAGTGGATTTGGAATTTCCTAGTTAGATTAGGGTAAAGGTGTTCATATGATAAAACCAACCCCAAAATGCTGGTTTTAAATAAATATACTGAATCCACCTAGATTCCGTTTCCACTTACAACATATATATAATAAATGTTCATCTTTATTTATAAAGCGTATTTGTAACATTGAATTGTATTTTCTTTCATTCAGGATACCTTTAATGTTATTTGAGCGTTAACTCGTGAATTTGTAATTTAATTTGTAAATTTTAAATTTAGCATTATGACGTTAATTATTGAGTTATTATTAGAGTTCCTATCCATTATCCGTTTGTCCATTTATCTATTGGATATCCAGATCTGAATTTATTCGAATACCCGCTTTACTATTGTAGTTTTGTTAAAGGAACTAAAGGAATGAATGAATAAATAAAATTCATTCTTTAAAAACCGTTAAGCCCAACTAGTTTTTTTTTTTTTTACAGTTTGTTACGATTTAAACATTCGAATAATTTAATAATAAGCTAAAAGCAAGGTTATTTGTTCTAAATTAGTCCGCTCCTTATTTTCATTAATCTAATTTAAATTTCACAGTATTAATAAGTTTTATCTTATCCTTCATGTAAAAATCACATTAATTCGTTAGTACTTGAGACATCCGCAAACTTGTCCCTCGGAGATTGAAATTTTGAAGGAAAAAACAGAAGGCATCAAAGACAAAGATTGCACGGATGTTGGGCCAAGTGAAGCATGACAGAAGTTCTATTTCATTGAATGTCTGCAGATCATATGATATTAGATTGTGATTGGCCAGTTATTGATGTATAAAAAAAAAAAAATACATTTAATGCAAAAAATTGAGGCCAAGTTTTTGGTAAGTGTCTCGCTATTACTATAATCAGGTTCTGGCAGTCAAGCTTTAGTGACCAAGTTATAGCACGGTCAAGATTTGCAGTAGTAATAAAGTTTAATAGGATAAGGTTTATAGTCTTGTAGTTAAACTTGTCGTCGCCAACACTTTGCCGGATCAAAGTTTTTTCTTTGTTACCATTGCCATCTTTCGTAGTCACCCTTCGTTGTTGGCAGTAGGGGCCTGCAAATTGCCTATTTTTGAGGCCCGGCCCGGCCCGCAATTAGGGTTAAAAATTTTTTTTAGGCC